CAATCTCTTGCCCAATGTCCCTTCCTTCCGCAATTAGGACAAGGTGACTGTGGTGCATCATTAGATCTAATACTTTTCGCATAGCAATTTTTAGCTACATGTCCTCTCCGATTGCAATTTGTACAAGTTTCTTTATTCTCTTTCACTTCGGTATGGAGCACTTGTATGGTTTCTTCCATTTTTGCCATTTGGTTTATTAATACTTGGTTTACATTTGCTGGCTGTAGGAGTGGGTTTCCTATATTTCCTCTTTTCAGGGCATTTTCTACCTTCTTTGCTTGTTGCCAAGCTTCATTCCAACTGTTTGGAGTGTTTAATTCAGTCATCATTCGTATAGCAGGTTGTAGTCCTTTTAAGAATTGTTGCATTTTATCCTCTTCTGGATATCGGTTTAATGGATCTACTTTTTGGTATAAGTCAGCCAATGCTCCTGCGTAAGCGTCAACATCTTCATGAGCCATTTGCTCTCTACTTCTCAATTGTTCCATCCAGTTCTGTCTATGGAATTGGGTGCAAAAATAATCAAAAAATTGTTTCTTAAAACTAACATGTTCATTTAATCCATTCCGTGGCGCTTCCCACACAGTGGTGAATGGGCTTGCCATCTTCCACCAGACATTTGCTTGTCCCTTCAAAAATGATGGTACTATTTGTAGCCTTCTTTCCAGACTAATATTATTTGCATTACATGCATCATTAAAAGATTTCCACCAATGATAAGGGTCTTCTCCGGCCCCATCAAATGCTGGTAATTCCACTAATCTTTGTTCTCTTAGACCTCCTCCTTGATTTTGCTGTTGTTGTTGTTGTGTTCTCAATATTTGAAGGAGCATACTTGCATCCACAAGGTAAGGATTGTTATTCCCGTTATTATTATTATTTCCACCGGGATTGTTATTATTTGGTGGCGGTGGTGGGTTATTGTTATTGTTATTATTATTATTATTTCCTTGATTGTTATTATTTGGCGGTGGTGGTGGTGGATTATTATTATTATTATTATTATTTCCACCTTGATTGTTATTATTTTGTGGTATAAGTGGTAGTGGATTATTATTGACTGGTGGTGGATTATTATTGACTGGTGGTGGATTATTATTGACTGGTGGTGGATTATTATTGACTGGTGGTGGGTTGTTATTTACTGGTGGTGGGTTATTATTGACTGGTGGTGGGTTATTATTGACTGGTGGTGGGTTATTCCAGCCCCCTCCGAATCCTCCTCCAGTTCTTATTGGTAAAATTCGAGTTGAGTTTGGGTTTGTACCAAATAAGCTACTAATTCCACTTGAGTTTGAACTGGCATTACCAAAGAAGCTAGAGTTAATTCCTGCTGTTGGGCTTACGCTATTAATTATATTAGTTGTGTTGTTTCTCAGGATGGGTCTTGGTCCACCTGTTGTGCTTGATCCCGCTATGGTTGAGCTAGAACTCCGAGTGTCAAAGGTTACACTTTTGGGTTTTAAAGCCTCTTTCCTTATCTCATTATATTCTTGTAGGTATTTTACATTACGACAATCTGCACAGGATGGATTTGGAGTTGGGCACACGTCGCACCCTGTCATATCTCCTATCTCAATCATCCCTTTCAAACAGCCATTACAAAATTCCCATGCTTGGTCCCCTGTTTCTCTCTTACAATTTTTTATAGAGCAGAGTGCTAGTTTTGTGGTTAGATGGTTCTTACAATAAGCCTTTTTCCATTCCCTTGCACTGAAACATCCATCTGCTCGGCAACATGATTGACACCTCTTACAGTACCTAAATGCAAATAGTACTTCTTCCTTACATCCTACATGTTCACAATATTTATGATCAACACATCGCTCCCCTTTCCTTTTTACTCTTTTTTTACATGAATCTTCAGGGCATTCATATGTTATCTCCTCAGTACTTCCTAATCCAGTTGTGGTCGAACCAGAGCCACTTCCATTTTGGTCCTGAATAGTTATTAATGGTACTTCCTTGACTCCTGATCCGGAAGTCAAGTTGGAGCTAGTTTGCTTTGGATCTTGAATGGGAG